GTAAAATCACCCCATCAGGTAGAATTAACATTTTTTTCAATCTAAAATCGACACAAATAACAATAATAATGGGACAAACTGTAGTATATACCTCTTAATTTGAAGATGAACTTTCACGCAACCCTTTAATTGCACATCAATCGATTTTTGATCAGCGATCTTGTGACTTTGGTTGATAAAAAAATTTAAAAACTGGTGCTGCAGGATCAGATGTCCGATATTGTATAAATAGACGTTCAGCGTCGCGACGTTGTTGAAAAAGAACAGAGTACTAGTTATATACAACGCAATCATCCACGCCTTCTGTCTGTCTTTGTTGATATTATTTCTTATGAAATAAACCGCCACCTCCCAATCATACTCATCCCCGGTCCACGGTAAATAAGTAAACCAAGACGATATCAGAATCAAAAACTGCATCCCGTTGATGAGCTTCATTCGCGCCACTTCCTTCTCCACCACCGGCCGGGATTCCCCGAAAATCGCCAAATCGAAAGCCTCGTGTCTAATAATATCCGGCACGCTCAAAATGCGGTTTCTCTTCACCAACAACCACATCACATTTATAGGCGTCTGGAAAGAAAACCTAATTAGAATCGCTTCCGATCCGAACCCGGAACTTTCCTACAACCGGTGAACTATTGGTGTAAACCGCCGTTCCTGCAGCTGGCGTGCATACAAGCGATATTTTAAACTTGCCACGCTTAATTTGCCGCAGGAAGTATCAGATTCTCTACTCGCAATCATCAACTCCGGCAAGACAAACACCGACAACGGCCAATTGATTGAAGTTGGTGCAGTTTTTATTGGTTTACCATACATACCAATGACATTACGATAATTGAAATGTAATATTTGAAGAAAAATTCCTTGTTTCTTTCTTTGACCAGCTGGTACACCCCGTACAATCCGAAGAAGTTAACGAAAAGCAACGGCGCAATGACAGCGAGCCTTTTGTGCGGCTTGTTTTCGCATATTTTCGCCGGGTAAAACGCCATGAGGAAAACGAGCGGATCTGAAACGCGTCGGAAAAACTAGTCAAAGCGATAAATACACCTGGTAAACGTCTCACCGTTCATTTCGTCCTCGCCGCTTCGTATTCAGTTGGATCAAAAGGCTCTATTTAATCATCTTTTATAGCCGCACCGGGCGAGTAATATCTTTTAAAGCTACTTATAATTACTCTAAGTTAAACACATTTGCATAAAGCAGCAATCATAAAAACAATATCGCTTAATTGCGCTTTGTCTCAGCCTTCCCGGTGTCGCCCAAATTGCTTTATAATCGCGCTCAAGTCTTCTCAAACTTTCTGAATATAGAGTGTCCCAAAAGCAATTTTAAATTTGCCTCCATTTTTTTCGTGGTAAAAGCATCCGGGACATCCGGTACAATACATAGTGATCAAAACAACTAGATTTACAAGGCTAATGAAAGTATACACTCGGCTAAAGTTTCGTGAACAATGCACACGATTAACGGGAGTTTTTAGAGAGGCTGGAGTTGGTTTTATAAAGCTCGTTTGGTTTGGAGAGAGGTTTCATTAAAGTTTATCCATTGCGAAGGTTCGCGTGTAAGTACATATTGCAGGAAGTTTGGAAGGTGATACGGGCGGCAGCCATCGGGCGAAACTTGCGGAAACTTCGGTATATTATAGTTTGTCTTTGTATGTCAAAATGTCATAGAAGTTGTTGCAGAGATAGCGACTCGGTGTAATTACGTTTCCGTGGAATTGTTCGACGTTTATATATCGCTTGTTAAATTTATACACACGAACTCGATGCACATGAATTGTTTACACCACTTTTCGATTGATTCTCGAGTGACGCAAACGGGATTATAATTAGCGGCAAAAATTCTATTATTCGTTATTTAGATCGCTACAATCCGCTTTAATTGAATCTTCAGCTGAATAATACGAAGGATTTATAGGGAAAGCAGCTGGTCGGATTCCCATCTCCGAATTTAGGGATTTAATAGAGCGCGAAATTAGTTTAATTGAGAGGCCGACACGAATCGAAGGGATTTTCAAAATATTTTCGCTCTGATTTTTCACGCCGTAAGAAAATCCGAAATGAGCGAGTCGTCAAGAAAAGGTTAGACGAGCCGGAGCGGAAAATCCGGCTCGAAATTCCACCCCGAATTATCGCGCAACGAAATGTAAAACAGCCCCATTGATTTCCAACGAGCGACGCGCATCGAAGGACAATTTATTTACACATCGAATTCCGATATTAATTGCTCTAGCGGAAAAATCTCCGGACGCGCCGGGAGAACGAAAAAAACACACGCGTCCGAAATCCTCGAATAGGCCGCGAAACGGAAAGTAATCAAAACAAACGGGGGGGACAGTCGGCCTAAAAGGGGGCGCCCCCGTCGGAATCAAATCTGCCATGAGTTGCAATGTTTGCGGAGCGTGTGTGGAATGGAAACCCCGAGGAAAACGGCTGATACATAACGACGTCGAATGGAAACCGTATCGTTACATAAACCTCAGAGACAGATGGATCTCGGAAAGACGAGATGGAAAACAGGAAGTGACGCTTTCGGCTCGCCGAACAAGAGCAATTCCAATTCCGCTTTCGCACGATCAAATTTATCGACAACAAGTATATCTCCAAAAAATGATTTTCCCGCAGATTATATTGAGGCGTTGAGATCGTTATGTTGATTAATATTATATGTTTGAACAAGATATGTGGCCAACTCGCAGGATATTAATTTACAGCATAGGACCTTTCATCATTAGGATATGCACTTTCAGGATATTAATTCATAGAATATGTACTTGCAGGATATGCATTTGCACGATGCAGTTAGGAACTTTCTGGATATGAACTTACATACAGATATGAACTAGCAGGATATCAATTCACATGGTAGAATCATTAAATATTTCAATAAAAATGTGGTTAACTTGAACTATATTAATTTACAGGATATGTACTTGAAGCTTATGCAATAGCACGATACAGGATAATAATTTAGGTACCTACATGTTTCTTGATGATTCCAAAATGTGTGATATTGAACTGGAGATCAAATCGTAAGAGGTAACGCTAATAGAAAATTCCGTATTCCAAAAAGCCCGTAGGATCGTGAGGATTTTTATAATGGAAATTAATTACGGGATAATCCCGGCGCGGAATTTCGTGTATTTCGCGGCGATAAATCTGAATTTACGTGCCCGGCCCTAAATTTCACTTTCCGCCTTATCGGATCGAGCGCGCCGGAAGATTTCTCCAAGAATTCGGAATAAAAAAATACCATCTCTCTTATTAAATTCACCTTGTTCGGCGACACCCCTCGAGAGGTCCTTTTATCGCGCGAACCGCCAGAAAAACCCGCTCGTTCGGTATTTTTTTTATTCCTGCCCGAAACAGACGGGCACCGGCGGCGTTATCGACTACGCCCGCACATCCTGATTATCGCTTACGATGTATATTTCTTACCCGAAGAGCGCTTTTTGTAACAGAAAACCCATTTTCACATATTCCCGCATCGCCATAAATTCCCAGATACCGTTCACAACAATTATCTAGCATGTAATTAATTAGCAGATATTGCGGTGAAGCTCCTGCTATTATTGATCAGATTGGTGCGAAGTGTAATGCACATACGTCAACATTAATTATATTAACGCGTAAATTGATTAACATTACACCGATTTTCCGCTAAACTTATTTCATAATAATCTCGCTCGTCGAGGAAATTACGTTTGACATCGTAAAGTTGATCTGTGACGAATTACAAAAAAAAAGTCTTTGATGACGACCCCCCGGCATCGATCCGAAAGTTCCCTGAAGCAAATATAATAAAGGATCCAATTTCCTGTAACCGACACCATTTTTATAAAAGCAGAATCTTTTGTCTGGGACGCGCGACGTCCGTAATAAGGGCGAAGGGTTTTTTTTTTCGATATCGGAAATTTAAGGGCGCGTTCGACCGATCAAACGTAAAATTAATACTCGCATTACTTCACATCGGTAAACTGATAACGCATATAGCCCCTTCACGATAATAAAGCCGCGACATCCCATCAGCAACGTTGCCACATTGACGTTTTTTTCTAGCATACTCAAATGAACAACATTATAATAGGAAACGCGAAACTGCATTAATCGAAACCATTAATGTGTGCTCGAGAGTCTTGGATTTAGCGGAGACGAGTTCGAATATCACGAAGGAGAATTGCTCGTTCATTCGGAAATGCATAGATAAAACGAAATCGACGGTGGGGCGAAGAGAACGAGAGGTCGCGAGTGCTATTAGTATTACAGACATTCGCCGTCGAAGAGCGTCGCCGATAATCGATTAATAAGAATTTATAGGGGGGTAATTGATATTCTAATTCGATTGGCCTTTTAGGGTGAATCGGACCAGAAGCGTGGAGGATCTTTTAATTCAATTCGGCTGTAGGGGATTTCGATTGATTATTATATATATTATATACAAAGCGAAAAGTTCGAAAGCACTTATAATCAAATTTACCGTCCTTGTTTCACTTCACCCATTCAATATGATGTATTTTTAGTGGTAAGGAAAGAGAGGATTGTTGTGGTAGCAAATTTGAATTTTAAACGAAATCCAACCGCATATTAATCTCGAATTATAATTAGGTTTTACTAATGAAGCGTTTGATGAACTTCACGTTGAGATATTTCGCGGGTAATTAATTTTGCGTATTTTCGAATACTTACAAATATAACAAATAATAGGGAGGAGCTCGAAATTTTCGTGGAAATTCGTTTGAATTTTCGCAACGTTTTCTTTTTCTTCCTTTATTCATCAAATTTCAGCGCACTTGCTTGATTATAACAATTTCATCGAATTGAATTCAATAAAAAAAAAAACAAGTGTCGCGCAAATGTTAGGAAAAACTCTTGAACATCTCGGAAAACTGTTAATTGAATTTCTTTTGTTCTATTTCGCGCCAACGAGATTTTAATTTAAAAGTTAACTCGCGAATAGATTTTTAATTGTTTACTTCTACAAGTACTTACCCTGTAAATTCCGATTAACAGCACTATGCTCAGCAGTATCATGAATAGGTGGGTTCCTATTATCGCCAGATAAGCGATCTGAACACCTGAAAATAAATTAATTATCGCATTAATTCCGGGAAAACATCCGGCACTATTTTGCGGGAAAATTAACGGGAGAAAAAATTCGTCGACGCTCCAACGCCGCTGATGAATTAACGGCGATTTTTCCTCGAAAAGAATTTTCTCGACTGTTTCGCCACTTTTGCTTTTCTCCTTATCCTACGAAAAATTTTCGAGTACACGACATTAATTTCGAGCACTCCTTGACGTTTATTAAATGTCCAGGATCCCATCCGGGAAGACGATGGTTTTTAATGTATTCTCTTTGGAAGATTATAATGCATATTTTATGACCGAGAAAGCGAGATTTAAATCATTGTATACAAGGTGAATATGCTCACTAATTTTAAGTACTGCGTGATGTCATTACTAGATTAAAATGAATGTACTATAAGTTAAATATGCATATTTGTGATTAACAAGCGTAAATTGTATAAATATGTGGCTAACGTGAACAAATTAATAAACTAACCAGCAAGTTATGAAAAAAAGTTTTTAATGGGTGAAAATTACCGTGCAATTCATGTAAATATGAAGCAAGCTAGAATGTTTCGAGGGTAAATAACAAGCTAGTTTTATTATGTAAAGTAAACTGTTTATGGTAAAGTGCAGAGGGAACGATAAAATGAAAAAATGAACCGCCTTGTATATTTGTTGGTTGTTGAAGGGGAAGCGGACGCTTTGCGAATATTTTCCGAGCCTTTTGTTATTTTACATTCCATCCATTCGTTAAATGAAAAAATGGAGAGCTTAAAAATGCGGAAAAGTTGGATTTGGAGTTGTTTTAATTCGTCCGGCGATCGTTTAAGGTGAAATTCCTAAAACAAATGTTGCAACGTGTATATCTTTCCGCGAAGAAAAATATTTTCGTTTCTTTCTCGAGAATGCGAATAAATTATCCGAACAAAGTCTGCGAAAGATAAGCTATCCCCTAAATCTTTGATAAATGTTCTAGTTCTGGTTCGAATGGAGTTTTCTTGGGAAAATAAAAGTTTCATTCAACGAAACTTCCTACACCTCTAACCAGGATTTTGTCTCAGTAATTTGACGCTCAAAACGCACCACCCTGTATAATTCCAACCCGGATATCCCGAAACGCACCAGCGTAAACCTTTACAGTATCAGTATCAACGCCGAGCAATTTATTATTTAATTTCCCCGCGAAAACTGTCTTATTTGCAAATTAATTGCGGACCTTCCATTATTCAAACACAAACACCGTTTAGACGAACTCGTTAAGTCTTCGATTATCTTCAGTGCCGGTTTAATTACAGTAAATTAAGCCTTTTTGCGCTAAGCGCGTCGGATTTCGAACTAAAACCCGCTTATCTCGCAACCGCCAGGTGAAAATTATTTTCATTGTGTAAAATGTAATTCGGAAATACCTAACAATAATACACGAAGTTCCACGTGGAAATTTATACGGCATTTCATGAGTTGCAAGGCTAATGAGTCGCTAACATTGACGAGTTATTTGTTAAATTGAATAGATGTGCATGTGTGTGTAAAATTGGATATTAATATAAATATTTCATAAAGGGTTGCAGTTGAAAATTCAGGCATTGATGTGAGTTGTATAATTAATTCACTGGATTTGTGCAGGTCTAGAATTTCTAATGAAGTGAATGGAACCTGATATAGGTAAACGCTCAATTTATGTAACAGGAAAATTAATCAGCCGAGGAGTGTGTAAACTTATGTATACCGGGCAAATTCGCAATTAAACACATAATGAAATTTGTTATTTTTTTGTTTCAATAAAATTAATTAGTTTCGTAATGCGAGTGAGTAGCATCAACAATAAAAGTAATAAGCTCCGCTATGAATAGAAGGCGACCTGTTTGGAAATTATGAGTGGGTAATCAAAGCGCAATTTCGCTTTTAATTAGTAACTAAAATGGGGCTTCGCTACTTTTTAATTAAATTCATGAGCGAAATATTCGAGTTAGTGGCGCGTTCGACTAAGTACCATTTCGTGTTAGGTTATAATAACTAAACCCACTATATTTGCTAGATTAAATTATAAACTCCTTAAGGGTTGCGTGGAGAAAATTTTCCCTTTGTGCCTATGAAATTGTCTTCGTATTTTGGCTTCCTCATAACAGCGTTATTCGACTCATGTAAGGGCTATAACTCCGGGAAAAATAAGGGCTATTTCGGTCACGTAGCGAAAATAAGGGTTTTACGAGCATTTGCAAAGGATAAACTAATAATAGTAAAATAGGATGATGATACAAGACGTTAAAAAACATACTCACCATAATAAACGTCTTCTAAGGTTGCGAATCTCTTGATGTTCACGCCGATTCTCCAACTATAAAGCAGCACGACCAATATCGATATATTCTGTAATACAAATACAAACAATTTCAACAAACTCCGCTACGTTATTAATTAAATATTTCGCACTAATACCGTTATAATGCCGTTACCGAAAGGAGTCGCGTCTAAACTTAAAATCCATTCAAAACTACAGCTAACTTCAATTAGAGTTTCGCTTAACTAGGCGAGATTGAGAAGTCTTGCTCAGCTTTCGGAGTCGGGGGAATCTTTCGCGGATTAATGTCGCACTTTCACCCTTAATAAACTCCGACTCCGGTTAGCTGAGGGAAGTTTTTTCCCCCGCTCGCGCGATGTTTGCAGATTGTAAAACGCTTTCGAAGCCGATTTTATTACGGTTAACAAGTCGAGGTTTTAATAAACTTAAGGCGAGGAGGGCTTATAAAAAATCGCCCTCGGGATGTTTGTACGCAAAGTTCGTTTTATTTTTGTATTCCTACACTTCCTTTCGCGGAAGTTGCTTTAATTAGGGACTTACCAGAGTGTAAATGGCGGCTGTGATGGCGGCGTGTCGTGGATTCAACAGTCGACAGCATCCTACTTGCGTTAGTTGCCCATGCTTGTAAATTAGAGCAGACTTCATTTTCCACTACAACATTACGACCTGAAACAAACATTAATATTCATAAATACCCGCTAACTAAACTCCAACCTACGCGGAAATAAAATCGAGCTTTGAGTAAAAAACCTTCGAAATTTGATGGACGTTCTGTTATTAAGCGAATAAATTTTATCGTCAATCTGGAATTTATGTATTATAAACGAGCAAGAGATCGGAAATTCGAAGGGGATGCGCATTTGGATCGTTATTTTGGTTTATAACGCGAAATTCACTTGATTGATTCGAAATTAAATTGTGTACTTATTTGGGAAAATTCGGCAAAATCACGCGCGCAAACAAATCCTAATGGGCGATTCGAGTCAATATTTATTACACACTAATTAATCGACATCAAAATAAACATCCGAGAAAATTAGGAAATTTATATCACGACGTCGAGAAGTATTTAGGAAATTGGGAAAATAATATCGCGCAAGGCATTTTATGATTCGAACCGGCTTCGCACTAACCGAAAAGTTACTTCATTAAAGTTTAAATAGAAAAGAAGTTCCTGCAGAGCGAAACTTAAATAACGTCGGCAGTATTTCGCGCGGTTATCTAATTAAATTTTAATTATGGCAGCAATAAAAATTGTAATTACTATAACCGACCGTAAATGGGAGAATTTCTATGGCTATCTGGAGATTTTAGTTCGCGCAGCTTTCCCGAGCTGATTAAAAATTTTCCTGCAGCTGATGCCAGCGATTTTGTCAATGTAATTTCTTTCGTATTGTTATTTTCATTACATCCATTAGGTACCTACTGTAATTTTTTTACGTTGCGATTTTTACGTTAAGCTAATAAAAACTCCCAATTTTCTCCTGAACCGCTGCAACAATAACAGTGATTAATTCGTCGTGTTAACTACAACAATCCCGGGCTCCCCGAAGAGATTTTTCGCTGCCAGTTTCTACCCCGTTAACGACCCAACAGTTCGTCGCCATCTCCCCGGCGTATTGTTATCGGGCCTCGTTTAAAACGGAGAAACTTTCAATGTATTTTTTTGCCCCGTTTCTTCGGATATCCGACACACGTCCCGACGCCATTTGTCTCAAGCCACGCTCGATCGCTCGTCAACTTGGAAAGTTCCAAGTCTCAAACGCTAACGATCCCGTAAAACGGTCATCTCTCAGTTTTCCGCCACGACAACTCCAATTAATTGCAATTTTTCCAATACAGTATTCGTCAAAGGTCTCGCTTAATAAAATGAGTGCGTAGTGCTAAAGATTCTTAAGTTGTATAACGTGTAATTTACAATTATACTCAATCTGATTCTTCTCTTTTGTCAGGAATAAAACAAGGCGCCTTTTGTAGTAGCGTTAAGTAGTTACTGGGTTTCTAGCATTACTGCCTTTACTGCGGATTAATTCCTTTTAATTAGTGTTACAAGTTCGGGCGTTAAATAAATTAACGTCGAGCGTTGGATGATATACAAAAGCGCTTCGGTTCGAATGGAAACTAAGTTAGATTAAAATATTCCGTTTCCGCTGTGCGCGTCAAATAAGTTGCCGGTTGTTGTGTGTAAATATATCATCTCGCCTTCGGTTTGCCTGGAGTAAATCAAGCGGGATTAGAAACGCGAAAAGCAATTAGCCGAGTGTCTTGTCCGGACGATTTAACGCTTGATTGCCATTAATAACCGTCTGTCATTCGCGTTGACAGAAATACCAACTGTCTAATATTTGACTAAGGTGGTAGTATTGTTTGTTGACATTGTTTTTTCAACATAAACGACTCTTACTGGTTAGAGTGTACGGCTATTAAAAATGTTTTCAATCGATTACTCTTTTGCGGTCCCTATATCACAAAGCTTCCCGTGTGCAAAAAGACATTTTGATTTCGGAAAAGCTTGGCTCGGACAGGCGGAGGGAATCGTTCCTTTTTTGACGGTCGAATTAAAAACGAAAGTAAATTGGAATTAGATCGGGCTGGATGGGCCTTTTGCACTCGGCCCGCTTTTTTTGCAGAAATTTTAATCAAGAAACGGTAATGCGATTTTTCGCCGGCGAAACAAAACCCGTCGCGACGCCGACGTCGTTCCGGTAAATATTTAATTCGCAATTAAAAAAACATTCCCAAGGACTTCATTAAACTACACGAGTTCTTTATACAGTGCGTCTCTTCTATACTAATAATAATCCACCCTGTATATGTTCTTTTTTTACTTGAGAATTATTTTCTTTTTGCCGGAATGCACGAAATGCTAATTTATGTAAAGGTTTCGAGTGCACGTAGAAATTTCTCCGCAGCCAATTAAAATGAGCAACTTCTCCCGAATAAATTCTAATTGGAAATGGCACGCCAAATTAATTAATAGCTCCGCGTTAAAATCAAGAACGCTCGGTATCTCGGGAGAGATCTCACTAATTTCTATTAAAGTGTCGTAAATTATCTTTCGTTATTCGCCCGTTGTTGTGTGGCGGTAATTCAACTCGGAGATATCAATTTTAATTTCAAGTCGAAATCGGCTTGGTAATTTTGACAGTTTTGACGTGTGTCATATTGAAAATGGCGGCGGTTTCAACGCCAAATTGGTCGTAAATTTTGGAGGATTTAAAAATTTGTACACGTTAAAACAAATTCGATATTACCGGCTGTTGGATTCATTTTTAACGCTCGCATTCGACGTTATGCACGGATTAAATTGCTGCAAATTTAATTAAATTAATGGAACGTCGCGTGACGGAGTAGCAAATTTGATTATTTCAAAATTGGATTCAAAGTTTTCATATGATTTAATAATTTGAAACAAACTCTGGAGAGGACGTACAACACTTTTATTAAAATTCCTTGCACATTTTTTGTTCGTTGAATTTTTTGTAATATACCGTTGTGATATTTGCTAATATCTTTTGACAAAGCGAGAGAATCCAATCGACTATTATTCATTAAAAAATCCCGATTTATTATCGAAAACGGCTAAAATCTCTATACAAATAAGCGTAATAACTTCCGTAAATCCTATTGAAGTTACGGCTGGGCTAGCAATATCGTATAAGTAACTGCCCGATATGGAAGTAACTATTTAAATCGAATCGAAATGCATCGATTTTTTTTTTAATTTTTCCATTAGAACCGGAAATTCCATTTCCATTTCTATTTCAATCCGTCGACAAGCGAATGCTCGCTCTGCGCTTTCTCCATAACCCACATACGAAAAGTTTAGCTCAATATTAACTCATCTTTACATGGCAATCTTATAAAGAAAAACATTTCCCTCTATATACAGGGTGAAAAATCATTTTATATCACTACCCATGTAGGAATTATTTTTGAAGCTTTTCCAAACTCATACTAATGTGCCACCATGTAAGTTTGCTTTTATAATATAGGTAGTAATTTATTCAAATAGTTTGTTTATTTTTTTACAAACACGTTTGGTGCATTAAATAAAAGTTTGTGTAGAGGTGAGGATAACAGGGCGCAATGAAATATAAAAACGCGCTCAAATCTGGCTTGTTTACGATCCCATAAACCGGACCTAAACGGCTCGAATTGGCTCGACTCGGTATTCAAATCCGATTTGAATTCCGGTAAAAACGGCCGGTTCGGAGGCGCGCTCACGTAAGGCGGACAATTTGCATGTAGGGAATCCGCCGCAATCGCGTTAATTGACATATGCAATCCAATTAAGGCGCTCTCGACGGGCCCTTGCGACACGTAGTTTGCCGAATTTGCGACGCGTGACGTTCGTTTCTCGCGGAAAGCAATTAAACGGCGAGTCGACAATATAAAGGGACCCGTCTCTCACGTTTGTCAGCGGCGTCTTCTCGTGAAATATGTACAAATTAACACGTTCGATGCCGGTATAATCTCGCTTAAATAGACGCATAAAAGTACGCCAGAACGCGCGGTATAATCGCGGCTTAAGTGGTGTTTTTAAGACGCTACACAAAAAAAAATGAAATAAAAAGTTTAAAAACGTTTAACCCTCTTGATCAACCCGATGATGTACGATGGAATTTAGATTCGCTTAATTTAAAGGCGGATATGTGTACCCTAATGGGTTTTTTATTTTCAGCTCTCTTATTCTACTTGGCAGAGTTTACGTGACCCAAATGCGAAAAGGCGGCGTTCATTTTTCAAAAAACCACGTCTTCGCTTTAATGTTTTAGTTCGCCGGGAAATTTCCTCGCAGGATCGTTATCAAAGCGAAGAAATATTGGCGGGATTTGCCTATAAGCACGAATCCTTTACACTGTATGTATTAAATAACAGTAGTATTTTTCCGCAATTGGAAATCATGAGCTTTTGAGTTCAAATTTTTCATTTACCCGGCGCTTTCAGACGGGAAATTAGCGAAGACTCGCTCGACGCGTGCACTTAGCACGGCTGCCAATTAGCCGGAGAAACACTCCATGTGCACTACATATAAGTGTAAGGGCGTAAGTTGCATACAACTGACTCCTTCAACGCAAAAACACCCACACATTTTCGCCTGTCTTGCATCAAATTCGCATTAAAATTTCAATGGATTCAATCACGGCCTCGCCGATCGAATCGGACAATACCAGCACTAGATACATATCGATTAGGAAATCGGATTGAACTAGTTCTATTGTACGTTCGCTGACCATTAAAATGGATGTGCCTGCAGTGATAAAGTAGGGACAATAAGGGGCTTCTATCCGCTAATTGGAATGGCCTTTGGTAAAACCACAATAAGTCCCTTTTCAACGCGGATTACGCCCGTGGAGTGGAGCAATCCGATTCTTTATCGGAATTAAAATATGAATTATATCTGGAGCCAGAACGTTATTCGATATCGGGTTTTTTATATGTATGTAACGATCGTTAAAAATAACGTTTACGTGCTTTTTCCAAATATGTAATATCCCAGACCATTTTGCGGTATGACCCCCGGCAATTTCGGAATTTTTTTCGTTATTGGGTCGCCGGACGTGCGTCGCATAAATAAACACCCTTTAGACGCGGAGTCCCAACAAAATACACGCAGATAAATCCAAAAATAAATATCGTAATAACAATTATTATAATTTAACTCAGTGCGACTCTTGTAAGGAAACCATACAAGAGAATTCCTACCTCATTAAACTCCAACTATGTTACCCTTTCTGGGTAAAAATGGAGCTCGTAGGTAGTCATAAACACTCCAGAGAGTCGAACGCGACACCCGAAACCCTTTACCTTCAACCTTCAACCCTCTCGGCGGGTTAAGTTCTGATCCGACGAATCGACTAATTAATTAGAGGGGCGCCTTATAGACAAACGTTATATAATATTCGGCATATTTTAGTAAACTGCGGAATTCATTTATCAATCCCGCCTATTGTTATAACGATCTATTCTTGTGTAAGTACATACCCGACAAGTAGACCCCCGACGGGAAGCATTAAGGTCGATCCGTTTTAAACGGGAGAGAAATTTATAGTTAGGGATCGAAAGGATTTTGCGGATAAGGGATATATTTCAACCCGATATGATTCATATGTCAGTTAGGCTTTTTGTGGATTATTCTATGTCCCATACCGGCGTACTCGAAAGTTTAAGTTTTTTTACTAGAGAAAACTTTAATAAGTTTTCTTTTACAGGAGTAATTAGATATGCACTAAAGAGTGCATTTCATCCCAACTTTGCTCCGACTATTAATTTAATATTAAAAAATTCCCGCTTAAGTTTTTTGTTCCAACGGCTTCAGAGAGCTTTAGAGATGCTGGGAAAAATGATCCGCATCCTTACAATATCTTTTGTATTACTAATTGTTCGCTGCTTCCGATATTAGAAAGAGTATTGATTGGGTAAATGATTTAAAGATGATAAAGAATGATTTTAAAAAAAAACGTAAAGAAAAAGTTAGGGATCTCCTCCAGTTATATAGATAACGAAGAGGGATTTATCGACATTAACTACCCCAGACAGGCAGAAGTTTTATTTTACTTTTCGAAAAGCGCGCCCGCTTTAGCTCGAGTTCCGGCAAATATTTCAACTTTTTTTTTTATTTAATTCTACCGACGAAAAAATCCATACAAATTACGCCGGTATATACAACGCAATCTAGATCGCCCCTATTTTCAACAACCCTATTTTCAACACAACAGTTTCCAAAACGAAACTCCTAACTAATTACGAGTTCCACATCATTTCGCCTTGCTCGCGCGAAAGAGAAAATGGGGAATATGTGACCGGAATCCGACGCAAGCCCCGTTATAAACCGGAGTTTTACTAACAAAAGATTATTAGATTAGCGAGTAGATTGCAACAACGCAAACGTTTAACTGGGTATTTTATTTGTTCACACCGCGTTAAATCTTATACTTTGTTACTTTACTCGCAAATGGAGTTTATAACGCAGTGATACCAATTATTGTGATAACTAAATTTTAAATATTGTAGGTAGTTAAACCGTTGAGAAATAAAAGGCAATGATGTCAATATATCGACGTGCTGAGCAAATATTTAAACAGTTGGTAGAAATTGCTGTGGATTCGATCGAAGTGAGTCTTGGATATTTTATGGAAAATTCGTGACTAAGCGAATTTCAACTGCATTTTCGTGTAGCAAACGACTGGTTGTTGAATAACTCGGATGTAAACGTGGAAACATCGATTCAAATCTAACGAATTTATGCGTTTATTCGTCTACCAACTTTATTTCGAATAAAAACTCAAAATAAGAGTTAAAAAATAGCCAATTCTACTGGATATAACGAAAATTTTCCTATAAACTGTAAAAACACAATGTTTCCCGCGGGATAATTCGATATCCTTGCTAAGAGGTTTTATGGTGAACAGTTCTAAATGTTTTGCACTAAAAACAATCCTCGAGAACCGCATTTGCTTCGCTGCAAAACGGCATTAACTGCGCTCCGGGCGATGCAGAGGCAATAAAACCGAAACGAATCGTATCCTTTTTGAGGCAAACATCGAAATTATTAAACTACTTTATGCTATTTGTTCGTACTCTATCACAACAACTTCAACCAGCGAATAATATAAGATAATAAACAAAATTTTACTCCAGAATTTATATAATTTTTTATCAGTAAATATATTTAACTACATTTTTTTAAAGGGGAATGATTATAATTACCACAATTTTAATTAATCTGCATTATTCAGTATGGCCTGTTTGATTAATCTTTTCAGGGACTTATCTGTATCTGATTTCGTATTGTATTGTGAAAACTTGCGCTCCTTTTGTGAGTGAAAATGATTTTCCTCCTCATTGTGGCCGATTCTAATCAGAAATCAATTTACTGGTGAACCCAGCGAATTTTTAATTATTTAACTTTTTCGTCGCCTTTAATTTAAAAACTTTTTTTAATGTTTTGTTGCGTCAAATTTCGTGAGAAAATTGGCTTACTTGATGTGGATTGAGTTTTATTTTCTCGCTCAATTTATCGGTAAAACATTTCAGTTTTTGAAAGGCAATAAAACTATATAAATATTTCCTTTTCGACGTGGAAGTAGGAAATTTACACTTTAAATCGAAAAAAAAAATTTCTGACCGGATAACCTCGAACGAAACGAGTAAAAGCTTTCCTCTGAGCAAGGAAATGCACACATTCGGAAAGATTTCACCGGATTCCTGATCCGGGCTCGCATTGACCGTTTTCTTTTAGTTGAAAGCCAGACAGTTTTATCGAAAATTTGCGCTTTATCCCTTATTGAAGTAACCTACCTATGGTCCAAAATTCTTTTTTTGTGTTTGTTAAATAAAATACCACCGTCCCGTCCACTTTCCAAAATTTTGTTTAGTCTACGACGCAGTGGAAAAGATAACCCGAAGAACTAGGCGACAATTGATAGGGGTTTAGGAATGCGAGATATAAGTGGTTGAAATAAAGATACTGCGTATGGGAAATATTGTGATGAATCTTAAAATCGAACATCTGGGCGGGTTTCTGAAAAATAGGTATCGGGAGTACGTAACGAGGAGTCGAGGAGAAGAGTTCGAGCAGTGGTGACGAGTGGGTGCAAGGTGCGATAGGTGAAATTGTGTTGTTCGAGTTTTTGGAATAAAATGAAGTTGCTGCGTAAATTAAGTTTACCTCGTCCAACTAAGGTATTCAATTTCAGGAATACTAATTTCAATGGATTTAATTTCAGAAACAATGATTTTATTTTACTTTTTATTCCAGCTCTATTTTGATTATTTATATTCCCTGTTTCCCTCGAATTTACACATTTTATTTCTCTGACTTTTACTACAATATTTGAACCATTTATTTTCTTACAGATATTTTATTTACTTTATTTATGATTTATTTATCATTGCTTTTATATATTTACATTTTTTGGAGTGTCTTTGGTCAGTGTGTAAAGTTAGCGGTCACGAAAGGGGTAGTGTTTATGAATGGGCCTTGTTGCAGATAATTAACAATTTCTTCCCTGACGGTTCTCATTGCAGTAAAGCGATCGCTTCTGTGGTGAGGTACCAAGCCATGTGCCAACTATGATAGGCGGGATGTAGTAAAACTTGCTCGTTTCCTTGGCTCTTAACAAATTCTTCTTCTTGTTATGGTTGTGATTAAAGGCATCTCCGCATTTACTTTTCTGTTTATTCACAGTACTATCTAGCGGGACACCTAATCTACGAATTGCAGAATCGCTGGGTCATTTCGCGGTTTCCTGACAATCCTTCACTGTTTATTCCCAGCATCAACCCTTGACTTATTTTTGTGTATTTATTACCGGGTTATTTTATTTATTGATTTTTATTTATTGATTTTATTTACTGCTTTTATTTACTGCTTTTATTTATTGATTTTTATTTATTGAATTTTATTTGTTGATTTTTATTTATTGATTTTATTTATTGATTTGTATTTATTGATTTTATTTATTGGTTTTATTTCTTTATATTATTTGATGATTTTATTTATTGATTTTTATTTATTGAATTTTATTGGTTGGTTTTTATTTATTGATTTTTATTTATATTTATTTGTCTCTATCGATTGATTTTTACTTATTTATTTTTTATTTATTTATTTATACATTTACTTCTTTCTTTGGGTATTGCACGAGAGAAGTTTTCTTACTGGTTCTTTCTTCCTCTCACCCATAGAAATTGCGCCCCGAACCAGATTTTGTAATTGTATCCCAAATAAAAGGTATTATGGGATAATTCGGTATTTCATTTCGAGCCTATCCCTACTTCAGAAATTTCGTAGCAATGTATTAAAGAACGAGGGGTTACTACAACTAAGACGATCACATGTTTTCTTCCTTTTGGCC